ACAAGAGAGGGTTGATTTTCCATAATCAACATGCCCAACCTAAGAAATGTGAAGAGTTATATAATCAAATCATGTTAAACTGAAAAAGATAGAAGATAAAACACCTAAAATTTAAGGATTCAAACTTGAAACATAACTTACAATTGCGAGATTTAGTTGAGCCAGTGAATGTTCTTCTTTTCCTGGGAGCATCCACTTTTCAGGTTTATACTGTGCATATGAATTTGCTCTTCCAGGGTTTGTATCATTTGAGTGCCCAGATTCAGCAGAAAAAGAAATGTTCTTCAGATTACTGGCAAGATCATGTGCCTTACCTCCATTCCTTGAAGAGCTGCTATTAGCCACCATAACATTTCTTTCTTTTGGCATCAATGATAGTAAGCTTTTCCCACTAGATTGCATATTAACAGCCACACTGCTTTCATCTTCATGATCTAGACAACTTTCTGGCACTGATGCAGAAGAGTTATCTGAAGTCCTGGAACCTGCTGGTGCATCAACTTCTAAATTCTTCAGAAAAGTGATCTCATCCAGTCTATTGTGCTTGTCTGTTGCTGTTGACACATTTGAGCTATCTAACCTTTTAGAACTTACTCCCCAACCACAGTCGAGTGAACTCTGGAAGATCTTAAGTCAAAAATGTTGGCTGCAAGTGAATGCAAGCCTGGAATAAGATACAACCTAGATCAACTTGGTACAAATCAAAAGTTTACAAGACCCATTCACTCTAGGTCTATTTTAAAGATGGAAAACTGTCATGCATAAACACACTCTTAAAACGCTCAGAAATGAAAATGTATAACAAAGAATAAAACCATCATCTATTTAAAATCTGGACTTGCATTTGCATATTTATTTCAAGATGCATAGAGATATCAATCCAAAGAGCAAGACAGTGATATCATGTGATGTGTTGTACCTTACTCCATTCATTCTAAAAAAAATTAAGCAGAGTTCAAAAGAAACGGTTCAGAGCAATGATAGAATAACCCTCCAGTTCCTTCAATGCCTAAACATGAAACAATTAGGGAATAATTTCATCTGGAGGTGAAACTGTTAATTCATGTAAAGTTAGCATATACATGATGGCCTGATATACAGAGCACTATTTTTAAGGAGTATAGAGGCAACATAACTCTCAGAGGCAGCATCCGACAGCAGAATCCAGCAATCTTGAGAGCAAAATTTTCTATTGTTTTGGAAAAAAGATTCTCAAATTTAAATAATATTTGTGGTAGATAACTAGATATCTATGTCCTGCTTCAACATATTTCCAAACCTATACGGATACAAATGGGTAGGAAAAACTATAATAAGCTTTATGGCATCCACGAAATAGTTCTTGGTCATTCCCAAACGTGTGCAAGTTTAAGGTATTGTCCTATTTCACCACTTAAGCATCATTCACTGATTATAAAGAAACTCGGCCATAGAAGATACTCCAGAGTCTTTGCATATGCAGTTAACTGCAGGGAAAATATCAAATCTAGAAAAAAGGTACCATTTAATCAAAAGTCAACAGAAACCTGTGAAATTAAGATAATTGTTTTTTATGGGACATCCAAACACTCACAAGCTATGTGATTGACAACTTTCTAAGGAAAAAACAGAACCCAGGCACGAAGATAAAGAGAAACAGAAAAGAAAAAGAATGATCTTAGCACATTCTTCTCATCATAGGTTAAGTTTTTGAGCAAAGGACCACGAAGAACTCCACAAATATCACATGATGACATGGTTTCATCATCATACGTGCATACAGCACAATGCCACACACTGCGTTTGATTGTTTCTTGTTCGGGAGGTGTTTCCGCTGTTTTATGAGACAGATAGCATTCAGTTAGTAAGAAGACAGACAATTATAAGTGCTGTTAACCATTTTGCTTCCAATCAAATTGAGCTAGCAATCTTTGAGAGTCTTAAGTGAAATGTAGAGCAAACCAATAAGAAAAACAGATGACCTGATTGGTACCTCATCACAGAGCTAAGATATGACAAGAAAAAAAAATCTACTCACCATTGTCTTCTACTTCATATCCGTAGTCATATTCATCGTAGTCATCATCATAATCAACTCCATAGTTAAGTTTTCGAGGCAAATCCGATGTTTCAATCAAAGATGAAACAAGTTGAGAGTAAGATCTGAAGTTTAAGCTAAGAAAATAGTCACATATGTTTAATAGTAGCAGGAATTCACGGGAAACTCAAGTAAACTTTAACTGATAATAAGATTAAGGACTTACGAGATCAAGTGGAGACCTTCACCTAAAAATGAAAACGTTGATAACTAAAAATAGCCATAGTAGAAGGAGCTAGAATCCGACGCGAAGTTTATTTTCGCCCCGCATCAATAATACAGAAACCAAAAAATTCCTTCAGTTAACCGAGCATATACTCTACTGCACTTATGTTTTTTTTTCAACTACTTCAGATTTGAAGAGCTTCCTTCACTTAAAATAAAAAATAAAAAATAAAAAAAGTAGAGATTTAACTGTCTGACTTAGGTGCGGAGTGAGATTGACATGTTTGAAAGATTTCGGAGCAATCAAACAAGGTTGGGGGTGAGTTATGAAAATTCAATCTGCAAGCATTATGTTTAGGAATCACAATCTATATAATTTTCTTGAAATTTGACCCCCAATACCCCACTAGTCTTAAAGAAAAAGAATGAGTAAGCAAGCAATGTACCTGACCTGACTGAGGCCGCCGAGGCTGTGGAAGATGAAGTTGGGGGAGAGAATTTTTTTGTCTAGATCATTTTTGCAATCCAAAAATATTTGCCAAGCCGAAGGAAAGGGCCCATTTCAACGCTTCTTCAAAATGGGCCGGGGCTACACACCGCTTCTCTCTTTATTGGTTATAGTATTTTCGACCAAACAGATAAAAAAAACTCTGTAATTTATCGTAAATAAAACGCGAAACTGCTAATAGAAATGGATTCAATCTTACTATAGTCTCTATTAATTAATATATTTTTTTACTTTCAATATTTACAATTAAAATTAAATCACATAATTTTATTTTTAAAAAATTAAATAATTAAATTTATAAAAGATATCAAATCACATAAATAAGATTAGATTTAGCGTTAACTATATTTAACTACTCTGACATAATACATTAAAAAGCGGGTAGAAACCATTACATATGAGAATGTGAATTAACATAGGCGTCATTCACTTGTACGTAAGGCAAAGTTGCTAAATTTTCTTTTGGCGCATCGTAACGTGTAACTGTATTTTTTGGCTAAACTTTTATATTGCTTGCAATTGCATGCTTCAAAATACGCTTCTTGGGTTTGGAGTATGTGCAAGGTGGTCACTTTTGTTGAGATTCCAAATTCAAAACCACAGAAAACGACTGACTTATATATTGCGAGTGTAGAGATGCAAAGAGAATGTCTCACGTGCACTCAAATCTCAGTGACATGTCAATCGAACACACGTGGGAGAAATTCTCGGGTGTGAATGAAGCGTCGCCGTCTGCTTCACGTGATGCCCCATCTGCTCTTGGATTGGGACCTCTTTACCACTTTGGGATCAGGCCCATCATTAGGAACCAGGAGGTATACTTGTTTATATTCTACCTTATTATTCTCGCTCTTCCATATTTTTCATTTCAATCACTAGTCTATTTGGATTATCAACCCATCTCATAATTAATAAATATTCTCATTTCTCTAACTCTTCTCTCTTTAATATTGTTTTCATGTAGACCATTTATGATTTTAACTGAATTGACTCTTAACTTCCCACACATATGTCCTTCAGTTTTATCAGCTAAGCTCATAGTGTAGCGTCAAATGCAGAACATCAAGTCCTAAATTTCACTTGAGATACCACATCGAATTTTTAATATTTTAGAAGAAATAATAGTTCAACTTCAAGTTTTTGGAAAAATGAAGGGATGAATGTGTTGAGTGATTTTTTATATAAAATATATATATTTAGACAAAAAAATGTTTTTATTTTCCAATCAAATATAAAAAATTTAAATTATTCTCATATTTTCTGAAGACTACAACATTCATCATTATCAAACAAAATGCTTTATTCAATACCAATAAATCAAATTCATAAGATATTTGTTCTCACTTATTTGGTTAATTTATCACATAATAACTTAATCAATAATTATTTATGAATAAGATTTATATCGAGGTTTGTTTCATATGAAAGATGAAAAAAAGTGAACATGACAAATTTGTTAAAAAAAGAACTTCCTCCAGGCTAAATAAAAAGTGATATTATACACTATTAATAAATAAAATAAAAACATATTTAAAAAATTATGTATCATCACTTAGTTAGTCATGATTAATAGAGTGAGTCTATGTAACCAACCTATATGAGGTAATTTTAAAATCATTCTCCTATAAATATGCTAAATGATATGAGGTGTTTTTAATTTTTATGGAGCTAGCTGGTCATGATTAATAGAGTGAGTCTATGTAACCAAAATTTGTTTGATGGAACTTACCAGATTATTCTCAGAATGATTGCAAGGCTGACACTTTTTAGTTGTCTTATCTCTCGACAAAACAACAGCAGAAGCAAATCCTAGCAGGCTAACATGGCATAAGGTGATTTATGCGCATGATACAAATCTCAAGCTGTTGCAAGCACCCATGACTTTTATTATTATTATCATTAAAGATGTCAAATATTTGCATACAAAAAACACATCAGTCCATTTTATTATAGCAACTAGCAAGCTGAAATATTTACATACAAAACACACACCAGTCCACTTTATTATAGCAACTAGCAAGCAAATTAAGGAGACTTGCTAAAACCCTAGTGGAACCATTCTTGAAAACACACTGACAATGTTGCCCTGAAATATGAAATCGAAGCAACCTCATAAGCGGGGCAAACTAGAGTTAAGATCACACAAACAACTGAGAAACTGGTTGCGATATATAGTAAATAGAAGATATGTATAAGGAGGAAACAGAAAGCCGACTACTATATATGCTAAATATAGGTTGTTTCGAGTCTCACATCACATATCCCGTACATGGAAGACATTAGGGTTCTTAACTACTATGTAATACATGTGAACGGAGCAGAACTTGGAAAAGTCCTTAGGAAGCGAAATGAGATCAATGGAAGATTGCTTGTGGTATTGGTACAAGTCAGGATCACCCCCGAAGTACCTCTCCCACCCTAAATCTCTCAAAATGTTCTCAAGAGAAGAGTAGGATGATACAGCCTCACCTGATGCCAAGTGCACCAAAACCCTTCTCTTGGGGCTACTTTCAAGCCTATATACACCATTGTTAAATACCCAAACTCCAGACATTTTTTTGGGGGGTTTTGTTTTCTATATGTATTGTTCCTGGGTAAACTAAGAAAAGGTGTTGAGAGACTACTGTAGCTTGTTGGTGAGGGAAAGGGGGAGGCGAGGGGTCTATATATATATATATATGTACATGCGTGACAGGTGTACTGAGGTCTATCTCTCTCTCTATATATTGTGGGGCACCATGGGTTTAAATAAGAGGGTACATGGATGCCTTTAGGACATAATTTAGGCTACACATACCACCCGTGGAGGTGTGGTTTTAGATTTGCATAAGAATCCCTTTCTTTTCTTTTAATATATATGTTGTATGTTTAGTTTTCATCTGCTTTTATAACTGGGAATCACGTGACACTTTTTTATATTATAATAATAGCGGCTCACAGAAATCATTTTGAAAAGTCAGTCAATGGCAGTGAATGTTAGCATCATAAAACTAGAACAGTGTACTATATTCGCATCACGAGATGTCCACGTGAAATGAGCTGCACGCAGCAAAATCTTGTAATTTGATTGATTTTGGAAAGATGGTTCATTAGACTTAATCTCTTGTAAAACTATTTGTTGTATTGTTTTTTTTCTTTTGTTGTATTGTTTTTTTCTTTCTATTTATAAGATTTAAACTTAAAATTTTATTTATAATATAGATATCTATCACTTGATTAAATATATTTTATCTTAATAATATATAATATGAACACAAATTGTTTTTCTTCAAAAAAAATATGAACACAAATTACATAGTTTAATCTTTATACATGTAGTTAGGATGATAAATAAATTAAAATTTAGTTAACCCAATACTAATATTGATAGAAATAAATGCCAATTCGAAAATCATTGAAGCCTAAAGTAGCAAACTGAAATAATAAAGGACCACAACATTAGGTCTCAGTCGTCTTTATTAGGAGAGTAGAAATGCTATCCTCCGTGTTTTTAGTTGGTAAAAGAAATGCAATATAACCCACACTGCTTCACATGGGCTATAGTTCCATGGTCCTCCACCAAGAGCACCTTCATGCCCGTCTAGTCAAATCTATCATTAGAATGAACGTTGTCTCTGGATATTCATGCCAATGTGAACTCTACCTTTTCTTTTCTTTTCTTCTATTCATCCTCATTAAAGTGTTTTTTTGGACATTCTTTAAGATCAAATCCATTTTTAAAGATGTTTTCTGGTAATATTCCAAAGCAATTAGTAGAAGGGAAATGAAGAAGAGAGAATGGGCAGTGCCAGTGTGTAAAGCTGGGATTTGTGTATGCCTTTATGAACCATTCAGACACAGAAACAAGGGTCTGCCTTGCCTGTTTCTTTATTTGTGTTCCACTTTAAACATGTCGCATAACTTAAATGACACAGACCCTTCATTATCAATTACTATATTATATATTACTATTTTTCTTGCTAAAATTCCTATAAGAGGCCAATCTACACGTTATATATGTTTCGCTATGGATTCCAAAAACTTGTAGAGCTTAGCTTCTATTCCATCCTACACTATCGTTTTAATATCCAATTGTCCATAATTTTAGAGGAGGAAGCTGAGAATGGATTGTGTTTCGGTTGAACCCATATTTATGAAACAAAAAACTTTGATTGTTACAATTAAAAAAATAAGAAAAAAACCTTTAATATGATAATTATACTATATATATAGAGTGGAAACGTTCCAACAGCATGATATAGTATGGACATGTGGAATGGAGGTTGGACCAAAGCATGAAATGTAGGCACATTCTCCGGCAGGCTGGTATATAAATAAAGACATAATGGGCAAGTGGTAAGGCAGGATTAAACGGGCTTTGTTCTAATCAGCTTTCCACACCGAGATGGGTGTACTGAGTGCGAATGCCAAAGCCGGAGTCTACCTCCTCCACGTCGCTGCATTCTTCCTGGTCTTGTCCACTACCTCTACAGCATTAAACATCACCAAATCGCTTGAAGAGTACTTTGAGTTTAGCACTCTGAGCGATCTTCTCAAGAAGACCAAGTTGACCGAAGCTATCAACCATCGTCAAACCATTACGGTTCTAGCCTTGGACAACGGTGCCATCAAATCCATCGCAGACAGGCCCAACGATGAACTTAGGAAAATCCTCATGAATCACATTATCCTTGACTACTTCGATAAGGAAAAGATCCGAAAGCTGGGAAAGAAGAGTGCCCTTCTCACCACTTTGTATCAAACCACTGGCTCCGCTTCCAACCAAAATGGTTTCGTCAACCTTACAAGGATAGCACCCGGTGATGTTGTGTTCGGTTCAGCCACCAAGGGTTCACCACTAGTTGCTAAGCTTCTAGGTTCTGTCATTTCCCAGCCTTTCAACTTATCAGTCCTCCACATTAGCACACCCATCGTGGCTCCTGCCTTTGGTGATCCCGTCCTTGCTCCACCACCACCACCCGGTTCCAAGCCACCGGCCCCTGCTCCCAAGAAGTCTAAGTCTAGAAGTAGCAGTGCCCCTGGTCCCAATGAGGAGGAAGAAGCTGGGGATGAAGAGGCACCAGCGCCATCTCCATCCGATGCACCTGCCCCATCTCCTAAATCCTTCAAGGCCAAGTCGCCCCCTAAACCCAAAACTTCTGATGGCGATTACCAAGATTCTGAAGCGCCTTCTCCTTCCGCTTCTTCTTCACTAGTGTGGTCCTGGTCAAGCCTTGGCGTTGCAGCGCTCATAGGATTTGTAGCCTTCTAACGGAGTTTGCGATACTTGATAACGTGGAGAGCCAACCCAATTTTAGCTTTATATTTTTATATTATAACGAAAGCCAGGCTTGAGAAAGCCTAATCCCCGTTATATGAATAACTGAAACACTCCCATCTACTCACTTTTATATTTTTACAGTGTAGTGATTGAAAATTAATAAATTCCAATTATTTGTGATACATAAATGGATTATTTATCATTCTATCATATCCTTCCTAACTCTTATCAAAAGTACTTGCAACTCTATGCTATGCACGTAATGCAAAGAACTTCATACTAAAGTTAACTTATTCATAATATATGATACTTATATGATCTAAAGTGACTAATTTATTATGTTAATGTTATAAAAAATGTCCAAATTATGTAATTAGTTTTATTGATAGCTATAAAACCTTATTGTAGTTTTGAATATTTTTATTTTTTAATAAAATCAGCTACTTCTATTTAAAAATAGTTTTTTAACTGAAAGGTCATAATTTAAGTTTATTTGGACGCAGCAGCGCAACATTTTGAGGACACTTGAAAAAAAAACTGTCCTACTTATTTCGATGCAGCTTTATTTGGCGCCAAATTGTCTAAGCTAGCATGGCTAAAACTAATTTCAAAGAGACTCCCGGTGACGAGAATTTGGAATTCTCATGTTGCCACGTCATAGTTCTCTGACTAATGAACAAAGTTGAATTAACGACAGGTTCATGCTTGAACATAATCAGGTGCCCTACCTAAAATCTACTCGATTTGTGTGATGTGGAACTGTGGATGTCCACCTCGCTGATACATATCCATTCATGCTTTAAAGACCCTGGATGTGAGAAAAGGGGCCATCGGTAGATACAAGTGACGATGCCGGTGACCGGAGTGTACGGAGAAATAATGAACGGCTGTGTGTATTTTAAGGATTTGTTAGCCAAACAACATAATGTAAAGATTGAAATTGAGTTATTCAAAAAAAGGTACCCAAGCCTATTACATTCATTGGTATTTATAACCCATAACGAACTTAATAAAAAAACGGTCCAAAATATTATGGGCTAACCAATTAACAAACTACTACTAATTATATCTTATTTCTACCACTGGACAATCAAGTTGTTTTTGAGCCACCTCAACTGAGGGTAGGAGCAATGAACTTCAAAAATTGAGATCAAGCTGTCGATCCCGTACAATGATGAGAAGATCGGACTAGGAAAGGGATCTAGAGGTTCTGTAATTGTATTTCTATTAAGTGGATAGGTGTTGAAGATCTATCAATTGGTTGCAGTGGCAGTAATTGGCATTGTTATGAACCTTATAAGAAAAATTAAATGAAGAAAACCATGCAACCTAAGCGCCCTCCTTTTGCTGTTAATATAAGTGTCTACGGTTAGAAATCAAACTTGATTTCTATGAAAATTGAAAGTCAAATATGTCGGCAAAGCTTGGAAGCAACAAGCAACATCTAGAATAGTTAAGAAAATTATTGAGATAAAAAAATGTGATGAAATTACAACAATAAAGTGGTGATGTGGCACCATCAAAGAAATGCTTAATTATTAAAAAATGAGGAGGCAAAACAAAGTCAAAAAAGGCTGCAAGAAAAGAAGAAAGTGGCAATTTCTTAAAGCTTAAATTAGTCGGTTTAATTAGCTTATAAATATATGCAATGTATGAGATGTAATATAAGAGAAAGAATATGAGGAAAGCTTATAAAAGCAAGAATGAGAGATAGCTTAGCAAAGCTATTAAAGAGAGGGTAAAACTTAGCAAAGATTAGCAAAGCTATTAAAGAGAGGGTAAAACTTAGCAAAGCTTAAAATAGTGAGGTTGTGTTTGTAAACTAGCCGCAGCTAGTGTTGTAGTATTGTAATATTGATGTAGTGTCATTGTAACGTATTTTTTCTCGTATTAATAATATTTCAAGTTATAAAAATTACTGAGTGATCATCTACGCTTCCAACAAGTGGTATCAGAGCTTGGTTCGAGTTTAAAGTGGTGGAAAAAATGGCCAACATGATTCAACCTCAAATCCCGAGATTGACAAAGATAAATTATGACAATTGGAGCCTTCAAATGAATACATTACTAGGCTCCCAAGATTGTTGGGATATCATCGAGAATGATTACACCGAGCCTGAAAATGCAGCAATAGAAGCAGTCATGACCAATGAAGAAAAGAAGGTATTGAAGGAATCTCAGAAAAAAAGATAAAAGAGCGTTGTTTTTTATTTTTCAAGGAGTAGACGAATCTACTTTTGAAAAAGTTTCTGATGCGAAGACCGCAAAACAAATATGGGAGATTTTGTAAAAATCTCTACAAGGTGCTGAAAAAGCAAAGAAGAATACATAGCCGCAGTAGCGTGCACTTGCCAGGAAATGAAGAATCGATTGGAGATGATAAGCGGAGAAAAGCTTGGAATGAAAAATCAAGTTTGAGGGGGAGTGTTAGAAAGCAAACTTGATTTCTATGAAAGTTGAAAATCAAATATGTCGGTAAAGCTTGGAAGCAACAAGCAACATCTAGAATAGTTAAGAAAATTATTGAGATAAAAAATGTGATGAAATTGCAGCAACAAAGTGGTGATGTGGCACTAGCAAAGAAATGCTTAATTATTAAGAAAAATGATGAGGCAAAACAAAGTCAAAAAAGGCTGTAAGAAAAGAAGAAAATGGCATCTTCTTAAAGCTTAAATTAGTCGGTTTAATTAGCTTATAAATATATGCAGTGTATGAGATGTAATATAAGACAAGGAATATGAGGAAAGCTTATAAAAGTAAGAATGAGAGATAGCTTAGCAAAGCTATTATAGAGAGGGTAAAGCTTAGCAAAGCTTAGAATAGCGAGGTTGTGTTTGTAAACTAGCCGCAACTAGTGTTGTAGTATTGTAATATTGAGATAACGTCGTTATAACATATTTTGTCTCGTATTAATAATATTTCAAGTTAAAAAAATTATTGAGTGCCCATCTACGCTTCCAACATCTACAACCCTAGAGCATGCATGATTTGATCCATCTTCTTGTCGGTATAGGACTAAAGTTTCTGCTTTCGATGCTTTGGGCATTAAGAATTGATGGGTCAATTATGAAACTTCAATTGCACCGTATGATATAAATGCTTAACCATGCACCCAACAATGAGCAAAGCTCAACATTTAATCAGACATCAACCAGCTTGATCATCGACTTTCACAATAAATATAGGAGAAATATTGAGTCATGCATCAACCATCGTTATAAAAAAACACCCTCCATAGTGATGAAATCATACAAAACCTAAATGATAAGAAGATATCATTCCACAAACAAGGCATTGAAACAACGAATATTTTTTAACACAAGAGTTTTAGACAGTCTTGGTGCAAACAATACCGACACCTCTGAAATACATTTGCGGCAAATTAACCAGGACCCACTTTAGGAATGTCATAATGCTAAGTTAGATTAGCTAAATATTGGTTAAATTCCAGAATGCGATCATGGTGTGATTTGGTCGCCATTTTTTCCAGTCTTTGGAGCTCAAGTTGGCGTGTCTGCTGTAGGAATTTTCTCTCCGCTGAAGTAAGGTGATCCTCAAAAGCATTAGGTTCTCCATGGTTGTTAGTGGAATCTATTGACAATATTTTGTTTTCACCTGTAATTGTCAATAACACATTAATGAATTAAATGAAGACATCATATAAGCAAAAATGAAGGGCATATACACTTAATGAATCAGAATCTCATAATGTCTATAATAAAAGGAGAGTATTTCCTTTAGAGGCCACTGTAAGCTGTCTCCTATCTAAATAAAGACCCTTTGCAACTAACTTGGAAGGAAAACAGAAGAAAAACTCATAATTTCCACTTTCCATAGAATAATAAAAACCATAACTAATCTCCAAACTCTTCATTTAAAGTCTACACTTGAGTGTGTCTATAGGGTTTAATCATAGAATTTCAACACAGTCTGCAACTAATCTCCAAACTCTTAATAAACACAAAATCTGAAATCTGAAGAAGATAGATTAAGCAAAGGGCAAGTGGAACCAACACTGGGAGTGGGAGGCATAACGGTGTTTGTGCTTATTCCTCTTCTTTTTGGAAATGACATCCACCTCGGCTTTAGCTTTAACAACTTCGAGCGGTTTCTCTTTCAGGCTCAGTCTTCCCCCGACAATGTTCTGGTACGCTGACATCTGAAGACTTATAAAACAAATGCAAATGCAAATACCAAATAAAGAATTCATCAGAGAAACGAGAATGCAAATGATGATTAATTAGACTTAAGTTACTGAGTTCAGTTGAACAAGAAAGTCTTTTCTGTTGGTTTTTTGGCAAATTTTGAATCCCACATTGGTTTTGTATAAGGAGGAGGGAAAATTATTTTGTTATAAATAGAGCCCCCTCCTCGTTAGTTTAACATCCCACAAATATAAGTATTCTTCTATATTAAAGGTTATTTGTACTCTTTCTCTCTCTTTGTATTATTTCCTCTATTAGTGAAATATTATTTTAGAAGTGTTCGAGGACGTAGGCATAATTTTGGCCTAACCTCGTTAAATTTTGCTGTTCTCTTTTATGTCTATTTAATAGCTATTATCGGGTATAGTTGTTGTTAATTATTGTCCTATTAAAATTACTTGTCTTGGTAGTTATGTCTAAAGAGAGTGGGTTTTAAGAGGGACCATTGTGACCCCTCCACTCTTTCCTAGGAATCTACCTTGGGGTGATTTTTAGTACAATCATTTTCACACTAGTCACCTAGATAATAGTTTTCAAGGTGAATTTGTTATTATTGGTGGAAATTAACCCGAATTCCACAACAATTGACATCAAAGCTCTTGGTTTATTTTAGTATGCTCTGTGGTTGTGGCTTATGCTAATCTTCTACATTAGAAAAAAATTTCCTTTGGCTAATTGACATTCCGCATTGACAGCTATTAAATAGAATTTGTAGCAGAAATGGCAGACGACACAAAAATATTCACATCATTGTCAACAACTTCTTCATCTTCAATTTTGGTAAGAAATGATGTGACAAATGTTAGATTTCCAGTGGAGATTTTTGATGGCACCGGTCATTTCAGCATATGGCAAAGTGAGGTTATAGATGCCCTATTTCAGCAGGGTCTAGACAGTGTTATTGAAGGAGAGAAACCAGATGATATTGAGGAGAAAGAATGGAAGAGGATCAATAGATTAGCATGTGGTACTATTCGATCGTGTCTTTCTAGAGAGCATAAATATGCATTTTCTAAGGAAACTTCTGCAAGTAAATTATAGAAGGCACTGGAGGAGATATTTTTAAAGAAAAGCGGTCAGAACAAGCTCTAGATGAAAAAGAGATTGTTCCGCTTCAACTATGTACCATGTACCACTATGAATGATCACATCACTAGTTTTAATCAGTTTGTGACTGATCTGATAAATGTGCCTTTTGTCGAGAAAATGACACTAGAAGAAAGTATGTCTCAGGTTAAAGAATAAAGGCAAACCTGAAAGGGGAAAGGCTGTCTCAGAATCAAATGTGGTCGAGTATGATGATGCAGATTCAGATTTCGCATTCGCTGCTACACCATCAACCAGCTGTTTCAGTTCATGGCTGCTAGATTCAGCTTGTATCCACCATATGAACCCCAATAGAGAATGGTTCTTTGATTTTAAAGAACTAAAAGGTGGAATTATCTACACAACAAATAATTCTCCTCTTGACACACTTGGGATTGGTTCAATTCACTTGAGGAATCAGGATGGATCAATCAGAACCTTAACATGTGTCCATTATGTACCAGATTTAATGAGAAATATCATCTCTATAGGAACTTTAGAGTCAAAAGGTTTAGAAATAAGGGAAAAAGATGGGATTATGAGGATTATCTCTGGTGCACTGGTAATAATGAAGGGAATCCGGAAAAGAAACAATGTGTATTACTTTCTGGGTAGTACAATTGTTGGGACAGCAGCAGTGACAGCTTCTACTGATGAACATGAATCAGAAGCAACCAGGTTATGGCATATGCATTTGGGGCATGTTGGTGAAAAATTCTTGAAATTGCTGATAGATCAAGGATTATTGAAGGGTACTCGGGCTTACAAATTAGCTTTTTGTAAGCATTTTATCAAAGGGAAGAAGACGAGGGTGAAATTTGGAACAACAATCTATGATACTAAATGTATTTTAGATTATGTTCATTCAGATGTATGAGGGCCTTCCAAGACAACTACATTGGGAGGAACACACTATTATGTCACCTTTGTTGATGATTTTTCCCGGAGAGTTTGGGTGTATACAATGAAGACAAAGGATGAGGTGCTAGGATTTTTCCTTAAATGAAAAAAGATGGTAAAGACTCAAACATGCAGAAAAATCAAACGTCTCCATACAGACAATGGTGGAGAGTACAAAAATGATCCATTTCTGAAAGTCTGTGAAGAAGAAGGTATATTAAGGCACTTCATTGTCAGATATACACCACAACAGAATGGGTTGACAGAGCGTATGAACCGAACATTAGTGGAGAAGGTTCGGTGTATGTTGTCTAATGTCGGGTTAGGCAAAGAATTTTGGGCTGAGGCTTTGGTCTATGCTTATCACCTTATCAACCGCTTACCATCGACTGCTATTGGTGGTAAAACACCATTAGAGAAATGGTTTGGAGAATCTGCTACAGATTATGATTCCTTACATGTGTTTGGTTCCACTGCATACTACCATGTTAAGGAGTCAAAACTGGATCCAAAAGCAAAGAAGGCGATCTTTATGATGATCACCTCTGGTATGAAATATTATTGTCTTTGGTGTCCAAAAATAAAGAAAATAATCTTCAGGAGAGATGTTACCTTTGATGAATCTACTATGTTGAGAAATGTGACTTCAAAAAAATTAGAGCAGACAGATAGAACTCCCAAATAGGTGGTGTTTGAAGGAAGCAGAATTATCCCAGTCAGTAAAGAAATTGATGTTGACTCTCATATGGTAGAAGAAGAGTCATATGAAGAAGATGTTCAGACCCAAGAACCTCCACAGCAACATGAATCAATTGCACTCAGAAAAGGAAAGAGGACCATTAGACAACCTGCTCGTTATGCTGATATGGTCTCTTTTGCATCACCAATTGCAATTGATGACGTTCCTATCACTTTTAATGAAGCAGTCCAAAGTTCAGAACATAAAAAGTAAAGGATCGCCATGAATGAAGAAATGAAATCCCTTCAAAAGAATCAGACGTGAAAACTAACTAGTCTTTTGAAGGGAAAAAATGCAATTGGGTGCAATTGGGTATATGCAAAGAAAGATGGATTTTATGACAAGAATAACATCCGCTACAAAGCAAGATTGGTGGCTAAAGGCTACGCTCAAATGGAGGGAGTTGATTATAATGAAGTATTTTCTCCAGTTGTAAAACATTCCTCCATCAGAATTTTGTTGGCTTTGGTAGCGCAGTTGGATTTGGAACTAGTTCAGATGGATATAAAAACTGCATTTTTACATGGAGACTTGAATTAGGAAATCTATATGACTCAGCCAGATGGATTCAAAGTTGTTGAAAAAGAAGAGATGGTGTACAAATTAGAAAAATCATTATACAGATTGAAGCAATCTCCAAGGTAGTGGTACAAGTGATTTGATAAGTTTATGATAGGGCAGAAGTATACAAGAAACAAATATGATCATTGTGTGTATTTACGCAAGCTACAAGACGGATCCTATGTATATATTCTTCTTTGTGTTGATGATATGCTGATAGCTTCCAAGAGTCTGACAGAAATTGCGAAACTAAAGACTCAATTGAATAGGGAGTTTGAGATGAAGGATCTTGGTGAAGCGAAGAAGATTCTAGGCATGGAAATATCAAGGGATAAGAAATTGGGGAGGCTTTTTTTGTCTCGAAAAGAATATCTGAGGAATGTACTAAAACATTTTAGTATGAATGAGAAGTCAAAACCAGTTACTACACCTCTTGCTTCTCATTTCAAGCTCGGTGCATCCATGTCACCTAAGGATGATGCAGAATGGGAATACATGTCAAAGGTTCCGTATGCAAGTGCTTTTGGTAGCTTGATGTATGCAATGGTGTGTACGAGACACGATATTTCATAGGCAGTTGGGGTTGTGAGCAGGTATATACATGATCTTGGAAAGGAGCATTGGCAAGCTGTGAAATGGATTCTGCGGTATATTTTGAACACCGTAGATGTTGGTTTGGTCTTTCAGCAGGACAAACAAGATGGTCAGTATGTAGTTGGGTATTATGATTCAGACTATGCAGGTGATTTGGACAAGCGTCGATTAACTACTGGTTATGTGTTTACATTTGCAAAAGCACCAGTCAGTTGGAAGTCCACCTTATAGTCAACAATGGCTTTTTCTACTATAGAGGCAGAGTATATGGTAGTTACAGAGGCTGTGAAGGAGGAATTTGGCTTCAAGGGTTGCTTAGTGAATTGGGAATGGAACAGAAGCATATCAAACTGCACTGTGACAGTCAGAGTGCTATTTATTTAGCAAAGAACCAGGTTTACCATGCAAGGACGAAGCACATCGATGTTCGATATCACTTTGTACGAGAGATTCTAGAAGAAGGTGGAGTCATAATCCAGAAGATTCGGACTACTGAGAATCCTGCTGATATGTTGACAAAAGTGGTAATTGCGGTCAAGTTTAAACATTGTTTAGACTTGGTCAATATTGTTACAAATTGAAAGATGAATTTGTAGACACTACTGAAGATTGGATTTTTTTAGAGATGTGTGTGGAATTTGCCAAGGTGGAGATTTGTTGGTTTTTTGGAAAATTTTGAATCCCACATTGGTTTTGTATAAGGAGGAGGAGAAATTCTTTTGTTATAAATAGAGCCCTCCTCCTCCTTAGTTTAGCATCCCACAAATATAAGCATTCTTCTATATTAAAGGCTATTTGTGCTCTTTCTCTCTCTTTGTAATATTTTCTCTTTTAGTAAAATATTATTTTAGTAGTGTTCGAGGACGTAGGCATAATTTTGGCCTAACCTCGTTAAATTTTGGTGTTCTCTTTGATGTCCATTGTGACCCTCCACTCTTTCCTGGGAATCTACTTTGGGGTGATTTTTAGTACAATCGTTTTCACACTAGTCACCTAGATAATAGTTTTCAAGGTAAATTTTTTATTATCGGTGGAAATTAACCCGAATTCAACAACATTTTCTTCATCCTCTCCTCTAGGTTCTAGAGACAACAGACCTTTCCGGAACCCATTCAAGTGTCATTTTATACTTGTATAATAAATGAATAAATAAATAAATAAATAAATAAATAAATAAGAGAACTCGACATAGAAACGCTGTCGTTTGCACCCTTTTACATTTACCACATGTTGCGGTGATCGCCAGAAATTCAAACCCTGGTTGCTAATTGCTACAGATAAATAAAAAGGAAGAAGAAATGTTACAGTATTTACTCTTACGCCATTTCTAACAGAGTAGAATTCAGTAGAGCTAAAAGTCTGTGATGGTAATGGCAGTAATGGCAGTGCCAATATCCGCGTGTGGGGTTACCCTTCAGTGCACGAATTGCAGCTCTTATTCGTCAGGTTCTTCCTTCTTATCAATCAAACTACTAATATTTGCTCTACACTTCTATTAATCTCTATTCTCAAATCAAAACTATATCCAGGTAAAGAATGCAAATATGCTGGTCAATCCGTGGTAAAAATTTTCACTTTGTTTATTAGTTTGTGGTTTATTAATTAATATAATGGCTCTGAGGGTTTCATTGGCGGGGCTGGGCAGAGAGCATTACCTATTAAAATCCTGACGGTAGGAAAGGCGAGGCTCCCTGTTGTACAATTGCTGGTGGATGAATATATTGCAAAGCTCAAAAGTTATTGTCATATTGATGATGTTCAAATTTGCTCCAATCCTAAGAATGCGTTGTACAGTCTTTCCTTTATGCATTATTACCCGTTGATATAATTAGTGGTCTTCGTTTTTGGAATAACCTTTCAATGTTGTCTTAGAACTTCAATTTTATGGGTTTGTAGCAATGCGAGGGCACAGGTTGAAGATGAAGACACGGCTATTGAGATACTACTATTCCGACATTATATGCTTGAAGAATTTTATGGGTTTGTTCAATATTAATTGAACTAAATAGTGGTGATGTTGGAAAGTGGTATCATTCCTTGAAGAATAATCTGTTCTCGTGGAATCCCCCTCCATCGGGTTTCTTCAAATTGAATGTGGATGGGGCTGTGATGAGGGATTGGAATAGAAGTGATATTGTTGGTATTTTGAAAAATGATGGGGTTTTTTTCGAGGTTGTTGGGTTCTGGTCCTCCTATTCTTGCTGAATTGAGGGCCATTCAAATTGGTTTAACTTGGTTTGTGGAATCAAAATGGTGTGGTAAGGGTAAACTTATTATAGAGATGGATTTAGAAGTTGTAGTCAAATGGATTAAGTTTCCGGAAGCTTGTCATAATGTGTTCTCACCGCTAGGGATGGGCATGAGACCCGAATCCAATTCGATCCTTTTTTTTAAAAAATAAATCGGGTTCGGGTCGGGTTTTTTTAAATGTGATGTTTGGGTCGGGTGAGATTCGGGTTTAGGGTGAAAAATACCCGACCCGGAAAAAATATATAATTTTACTTTATATATTTAAGAATAATTATAATAATATCCCTCGATATATTATTTTTTCTAATTAAATCATTGTTTTTATTGAATAAAAATATTTTTTTTATTATTTCGAGTCGGGTCGGGCCGGGTTTTTAAATTATATATCGGGTCGGGTTCGGGTCGGGTCAGATTTGGGGTGGAGGATTTCTTGTTCTAGGGTCGGGTCGGGTCGGGTGGACAAAAAATCCAACTCAACCCGACCCATGTCCATCCCTACTCACCTCTGGTTAAGGAAATTGTCAGTGTTGTAATGAAATATAGGGTTGCTGTAAGATCAATTAAAAATGTTGTAAATTGGGAGGCTAACGCTTTAGCTAAGTCAAATATAGGATAATTGTCTTCGGATGTACGACGAGGTACTTATGTATAATGACATATATGAAGGGTTTTTTTTTAATAAGACCTATTTTCTTATAAAAAAATTAATATTACCCACCAGTATTGAGATACCACTTTCCGACATAAAATGCTTATACCTGCAAATATATTAGTAGGCACTAGGCAGAATAATTTTGGGACTTTTTGACCTCGGTTGCAATTTGGTGATTAAGGGCATCAGCATAATTTTTTTCCTCTGGGGGTGAACTTAAATTATAAATTTTTTTGGGTGTCAACATGTATTTTTGCCACTGTTTTAGAAAGACCGAATCTCAATTTATCATTTTAAGGGGGCAAAATGTAATTTTACTATGTATTAATTAATGATTTTATAAATTTTAGAGGGGGTTAAACAAAATTTTACCAATTTAGGCGGGACATGGTCGCTGCCAGCCCCCTCTAGATTCACCTCCGTGATGATGCATGCTTTTTAACTCCACGTTGCTTGAATAAGATATTTAAAAGAATGACTAATCCATGGCATGTGTTTTTGCGATTTGACATGTTTAAGGGAGCTTCAAGATTATCATTTTGCATTGGTGGTCCTTATGGTCATGGACAACAAGTCCGAAAACATGCTAATGTGTCGATCAAGTTGTCTTCTATGGTATTGAATCATCAAATTGCACTTGTCGTGCTCATGGAACAACTTTTTAGGTGAGAAAAGGTTACTTAAAGTTCCATCTTCAATAACATCGCATACATTCAATATTGTGAAATGTAGAAAAACATTCATTGCGTAATCATATTTGTTAGTTATAACAAAAAAATTGCTTATTTGACAGAAATGTGATTCTGAGTTATGTTTGTTCACTGGCTGCTTTCAGCTATACTTTTGGGTCAATCAATGGAGGAGAGGGACTTGTCTGTCGTGGTTGCGTGAGCTGGTTATAGATGGGAAGTTATTGGAGATATTATTGAGTTAAAACCATATAAACCATTGTGAATTGCTAGTGGTTGTTAATTTCTCTGTTAACAGTTTTTGTGGTGGATGGTTATAATGTCTATTCAAAATGGTTAAACTTAATTGAATTGCTTAGGCTTAGGATTAGGTTGACCTGTGTTATCATATGTTTCCTTTTTGTTTCTTTTATTTGCCTTTAATTCTCTTGCCTTGACTTTTTTATCTATTTTTGTGATTGCTTATGGAACTAGTAATGGAAGAAAAAAAAGAATAACTTGCCCCATTCTCTGCATATCATTTAGTGCTTACCAGCAAATTGTGTTTTAAGAATTTCCGGATTTTAAACTATGGGAGTTAACGTATCATTTGATTTCAGGTCATGGACTATTCTGAAAGGACAAATGTACCATCATTAGCCCTGACTTCAGGTCAAGCATACTGCATAGGTAAACTGAAATCCTTATCTGTTGCTTCCTCTTCTCCATGCTATTTGCTTATGCTATGGATATGTTCAGTGGTTGCATTAGCCTGATATGCAACAAATCATCCCAATGGGAATGCATGAGATACTTATGATTGGGCATGGCATGTTTTCCCTCCACTCTTCAGTTTTTTATTTATTAATATGGTGTGGTCAAGAATTGAAATCTTCTGGTAAGGTTTGTCATTAATTGTAATGCTGGCCTTTAACTCTGATTATCTCAGATAATGAGTTAAGATTGCTTAATAGGACAGTGTTCTTTTCTGTCAGCTTAGCATTGATTTTACCATGTTATTTGTTGATCCTGTTGCCATAGTTGCGCCAATACCAACTGACAGACGTAGGGTACCACTGTACTTGTCTTATTTACGTATTTTGCATCTCTGGTTGTGACATGGTAGTACTTCTATTCCTATCTATGATTTCACTTCTACCTGTGCAGATTGAAGTTTATGTGAGAACCTACATTCGTATTCTTGCGCTCGGCACCAAGACCAAATGAACTTAGATTGAAAGCAATCATGTGTGCTGCTGACGGACTGACAACAATTTTGAGGAGGCATAGACAAAGTTTGGAGAATGTTGAACTCAGCAAATTAAAGCTTATGCATTGTCTTTATTGTATCATGTAGATACAACTGAAAGATTCACGTACATCTGTGGTGATAAAAGGATTTAACATTCAAGGCAATCCCAAGCCACAGCAAAGGAATGTCATTGTCCGGGGTAATCTGTGTACCAAATAAAAGAAAAGAAAATGCTGTTAACAGGGAGAAGGTTAAAATGAAATATGATATTGAAGCATATTATTGTTTTACCATTTAGGGGAGATGAGAGGGCAAAATTAGGATCTGCTTGTACTTTCATTTAGTGATTGAAAGCTCTAAATTTGGAGTTAAAAGAAATAAATGAAAGCTGGTTGTTTTGGAAAGCCCTGAAAAGCAGCCTTGTCCAACTGTTATCTGTTGGTTTTTGGCAAAAGTCCCACATTGGTTGTGTATAAGGAGGAGGGGAAATTCTTTTGTTATAAATAAAGCCCTCCTCCTCCTTAGTTAATCATCTCACAAATATAAGCCTTCTTCTATTTTAAAGGCTATTTGTATTCTTTCTCTCTTTGTAATATTTCCTCTATTAGTGAAATATTTTGGTGTTCTCTTTTATGTCTATTTGATAGCTATTGTCGGGTATAGTTGTTGTCAATTATTGTCCTATTAAAATTACTTGTCTTGGTAGTTCTGTCTAAGGAAAGTGGGTTTTAAGAGGGACCATTGTGACCCCTCCTCTTTCCTGGGAATCTACCTTGGGGTGATTTTTAGTACAATCGTTTTCACACTAGTCACCTAGATAATAGTTTTCAAGGTGAATCTGTTATTGGTGGAAATTAACCCGAATTTCACAACAATTGGTATCAGCGCTCTTGGTTTATTTTAGTATGCTCTGTGGTTGCGGCTTAGGCTGATCTTCCACATCAGAAAAATTTCCTTGGGATAATTGACATTCTGCATTGGCAGCTATTAAATAGAATTTGTAGCAGAAATGGCAGACGCTTCTTCATCTTCAATTTTGGCAAGAAACGCTGTGACAAATGTTAGATTTGCAGTGGAGATTTTTGATGGCATCGGTCATTTCGGCATGTGGCAAAGCGAGGTTCTAGATGCCCTATTTCAGCAGGGTCTAGACATTGCTATTGAAGGAGAGAAACCAGATGATGTTGAGGAGAAAGAATGGAAGATGATCAATAGAATGTCATGTGGTACTATTCGATCGTGTCTTTCTAGAGAGCAGAAGTATGCATTTTCTAAGGAAACTTCTGCAAGTAAATTGTGGAAGGCACTGGAGGAGAAATTTTTGAAGAAAAGCGGTCAGAACAAACTCTACATGAAAAAGAGACTGTTCCGCTTCAACTATGTACCAGGTACCACTATGAATGATCACATTACTAGCTTTAATCAGCTGGTGACTGATCTGATGAATATGGACGTGACTTTTGAAGACGAAGATCTGGCTCTGATGTTGATGGGATCACTTCCTGATGAGTTTGAGTATCTTGAAACTACTCTACTTCATGGGAAGGTTGATGTGTCTCTCAATGAAGTAACTGCTGCCCTTGTATAGTTATGAATTGAGAAAGAAAGACAAACAAGAAAACACAAGTGTCGAAGCAGAAGCTCTTGTTGTTAGAGGCCGTTCCAAGAGTCAGAATAAAGGAAGCAGAGGGAGATCGAAGTCAAAGTCCAGATTGAGCAAAGATGAATGTGCCTTTTGTCGAGAAAAAGGGCACTGGAAGAAAGAATGTCCCAGGCTAAAGAATAAAGGCAAACCTGAAAGGGGGGAAGACTGTCTCAGAATCAAATGTGGTCGAGTATGATGATGGAGATTCAGATTTCGCATTCGCTGCTACGCCATCAACCAGCTGTTCCAGTTCATGGCTGTTAGATTCAGCTTGTAGCCACCATATGACCCCCAATAGAGAATGGTTCTTTGATTTTAAAGAACTAAAAGGTGGAATTGTCTACACAGCAAATAATTCCCCTCTTGACACACTTGGGATTGGTTCAATTCGCTTGAGGAATCAGGATGGATCAATCAGAACCTTAACAGGTGTCCATTATGTACCAGATTTAATGAGAAATCTCATCTCTGTGGGAACCTTAGAGTCAAAAGGTTTAGAAGTGAGGGCAAAAGATGGAATTATGAGGATTATCTCTGGTGCACTGGTGATAATGAAGGGAATCCGAAAAAGAAATAATGTGTATTACTTTCTGGGTAGTACAATTGTTGGGACATCAGCAGTGGCAGCTTCTACTGATGAACAGGAGTCAGAAGCAACCAGGTTATGGCATATGCGCTTGGGGCATGTTGGTGAAAAATCCTTGAAATTACTGATAGATCAAGGATTATTGAAGGGTGCTCGGGCTTGCAAATTAGCTTTTTGTGAGCATTGCATCAAAGGGAAGAAGACGAGGGTGAAATTTGGAACAGCAATCCATGATACTAAAGGTATTTTGGATTATGTTCATTCAGATGTATGGGGGCCTTCCAAGACAACTTCATTGGGAGGAACACACTATTATGTCACCTTTGTTGATGATTTTTCCCGGAGAGTTTGGGTGTATCCAATGAAGACAAAGGATGAGGTGCTAGGATTTTTCCTTAAATGGAAAAAGATGATGGAGACTCAAACAGGCAGAAAAATCAAACATCTCCGTACAGACAATGGTGGAGAGTACAAAAATGATCCATTTCTGAAAGTCTGTGAAGAGGAAGGTATTGTTAGGCACTTCACTGTCAGAGGTACACCACAACAGAATGGAGTGGCAGAGCGTATGAACCGGACATTAGTGGAGAAGGTTCGGTGTATGTTGTCTAATGCTGGGTTAGGCAAAGAATTTTGGGCTGAGGCTTTGGTCTATGCTTGTCACCTTGTCAACCGCTTACCATCGACTGCTATTGGTGGTAAAACACCATTAGAGAAATGGTTTGGAGTACCTGCTACAGATTATGATTCCTTACATGTGTTTGGTTCCACTGCATACTACCATGTTAAGGAGTCAAAGCTGGATCCAAGAGCAAAGAAGGCGATTTTTATGGGGATCACCTCTGGTGTGAAAGGCTATCGTATTTGGTGTCCAGAAACAAAGAAAATAATCTTCAGCAGGGATGTTACCTTTGATGAATCTACCATGTTGAGAAAGGTGACTTCAGAAAAATTGGAGCAGACAGATGGAACTCCCAAAAAGGTGGAGTTTGAAGGAAGCAAATTTGTCCCAACCAGTAAAGAAAATGATGTTGACTCTCCTATGGTAGAAGAAGAGTCAGATGAAAAAGAGGTTCAGACCCAAGAACCTCCACAGCAACATGAATCAATTGCACTCAGAAAGGGAAAGAGGACCATTAGACAACCTGCTCTTTATGCTGATATGGTCTCTTTTGCATCACCAATTGCAATTGATGACATTCCTGCAACTTTTAATGAAGCAGTTCAAAGTTCAGAACATAAAAAGTGGAGGATTGCCATGAATGAAGAAATGCAATCCCTTCAAAAGAATCAGACGTGGAAACTAGCTAGTCTTCCGAAGGGAAAGAAGGCAATTGGGTGCAAGTGGGTATATGCAAAGAAAGATGGATTTCCTGACAAGAATAACATCCGCTACAAAGCAAGATTGGTGGCTAAAGGCTACGCTCAAACGGAGGGAGTTGATTATAATGAAGTATTTTCTCCAGTTGTAAAATATTCCTCCATCAGAATTTTGTTGGCTTTGATAGCGCAGTTGGATTTGGAACTAGTTCAGATGGATGTAAAATCTGCATTTTTACATGGAGACTTGGATGAGGAAATCTACATGACTCAGCCAGATGGATTCAAAGTTGCTGAAAAAGAAGAGATGGTGTGCAAATTAGAAAAATCGCTGTACGGATTGAAGCAATCTCCAAGGCAGTGGTACAAGCGATTTGACAAGTTTATGATAGGGCAGAAGTACACAAGAAGCAAATATGATCATTGTGTGTATTTACGCGAGCTAGAAGACGGATCCTATATATATATCTTCTTCTTTATGTTGATGATATGCTGATAGCTTCCAGGAGTCAGACAGAAATTGCGAAACTAAAGACTCAATTGAACAGGGAGTTTGAGATGAAGGATCTTGGTGAAGCGAAGAAGATTCTAGGCATGGAGATATCAAGGGATAAGAAATTGGGGAGGCTTTGTTTGTCTCAGAAAGAATATCTGAGGAAGGTACTAAAACGTTTTGGCATAAATGAGATGTCAAAACCAGTTAGTACACCTCTTGCTCCTCATTTTCAAGCTCGGTGCATCCATGTCACCTAAGGATGATGCAGAACGGGAATACATGTCAAAGGTTCCGTATGCAAGTGCTGTTGGTAGCTTGATGTATGCAATGGTGTGTACGAGACCCGATATTTCACAGGCAA